TAGAGGAGGCACGGCCTCTCTTGTATTGTTGAATAAATTCTGAGGTACTTGCGATCGTCTAGATGGCTCAATGCTCGATGAGAGGTAAGGGTGCAGCGCAAGTTGGCACAGCAGAGGCCCACCTACCATCGTCGACCATATCCCGCGTACAGCGACACCACCTTCCCGGCTCCAGCTTTCAACTCATTGATTATCCGCTATTATTTTATGACCGACATTGTTTAATTATGGGATTTTTATTGTCAACAACCTCTAGTTCTGGACCTCCACTCGTTTTGCCGCCCAGGACGTGCGAATGAAGACCCTTTTCCGTTTCCGTGTTCACCCACATAAGCAAACCACAAAGTTTCCCATGAAGCTCTGCGTCTTTTCCTAGCTCGACTACAATGAGACAGCTCCATTTCTTCCGAGCACGAACAGTGAATACGTTGGCCAGTACAGTGGCAGCTGTATACTCGGGTACAGATTCTTCTAACTTACAATTCTCGACTTGGAGAACAGAGGAGCGATATTGCTGTTCACTGGCCTCGGTATTCAGACCGGTGCGGCCTAATTAGTCCTCCAACCCAGCTAGATCTTCTTGGGTATCCAAATGGAGCGTATATCCACGCCCATCTCAAACAAATATCTCAACCCTCGGTCCGACAGTCTGTGCAGGCTTCTTGGAACGCAGTTGCATCTTCCAATGTTCGATTATACAAGTGCTGAGCGAAAATGGTCCTTCTTTCCATTGAGCTGACCATTATGATCATCTAGGGATGCCATATATGTGGGAAATTTATTTAATAGGCTCCTTTCCGTACATCGCGTCGATCCAACCTTGCCATACAGATCAGCCAAAGGCCGACCGAGAAGCCTCTTAGGTTCTCGTAGAGAGAATACTCTCCCTAGAGCTTCTAAATTCCCTCTTATTGTCTCTAATATGAGAACAATGCCTCCCGGACTCTTGGCCTTCATACACAAGCGAGAGCGCTGCCCTGGGAGACATGTCAGTCTCCTCATCAGGAGGATGGGATGA